TACCTATAAAACCCCAGATCCTAAACTCTTCGGGGTGCCTCTTCTCTGAGGTAGCCCACACTCCCCTTCCTCTGAGTGTGCAACTTTTTGCCTTACATAAACTTCTCACTGCTCAATTTATAATGTTTTGTCTCTGTGCTTTTCCAGTGGTAAGTGTCTTTGTCACTTTACTATTTCATTCTGATCCTCCAGACTCAAGCTCAAATCTTCACTCTCTCTGTCATATTTCAGAGAAGTAGGGAGGGGCTGCTGAGAGCTCAGATCTGGGCTTGCCAATTACCATCCCCTGGGAGACCCAGACAGAACTGCAGCTTACCGTCATGATCTTTAGTAGCCTGCCTGGGAAGTCTCCTTTTTTTTTGCCTCTAGGAAGTTCACAGAACATAAATCTCACTTTATCCAGAGCTCTGTGGCTCCCCCAAATTCTGGGGTAGTAGGGACTCAGTTCCCACGCTGTGAAGATCCAAGTGGACACTGGACACCAGGTGACACTGGCTTAAGGAGTTAGCAGGGGATGTGCCCCATGCAAAGTAGAAGTTCAGTGAACTTCCTTTATCACTGTTCTGTCATTCCCTGACACTCTTGCTTTAATGAATTCCTTCCTCACCTTGTACTGACTTCCCTGCGTCTCTGAAATGAATTCCTCCCAGCAGTACTGGAAGAAAAGCTATTCCCCTACTAGCTCGCTCCACCGTGCTTTAAATGCCCAAGACCTCTACAGGTCCTCCAGGAGAACTTCTGACTGCAAGGACTCATTTGCCAACCAGGTACTGTCACATTTCTTGCCTTCAAGTCTCATAACTTATGGGATGCCACAAAGCCTGTACCGTTTTTTCCGACGCTTTGCAGTCTGCTCCTCTGCAGTGGTTTTATTCCTTTCCAGTCTCTTCTGAAACTCTGCATCCAATTTTTGCTAAAAAAAAAAAAAAAGTACATCATTTAGCTATACTCTGGGCTAAGCACGAGAGCTCTGGAAGTCACACCACTGGGGGTGCTGTCGGCACATCTAGGTCTCCAGGGCCACTTTAACTCTAAGAGATTGCCCTACAGGTGGGGCAGGAAATCAATATATGGCTCTCTGCCAACAAAGTAACTTTCAGCTCTTTAAGATACCATTCATGCACAACAAAATCTAAGCAAGAGAAAATATGACAGGAAGCCATGGTGTATTCCTTGAGGAAAGAGGCTGCATGATTGGCTTTTCAGCCAGGACCCTGGACAGTGTGATACTGTGACTTATGAGAAACATATATTTGGTCTTCATCCATTGTCTGGCACATAGTTCCTAAAACTCTTACAAATTTCCTATATAAGAGCCACAGGCCACCTTTTACTGTATTTAGATTTGGTCCCAGTTCCTGAAATAGCTCGAGATAAAGGTGAAATGGGTGTTTTCTGTTACTCATAACAAGCCCCTTCCAACCACTGGAAATTATGTTAATCCCTATCTTTTGGAAAGGCACTAAGGAAAGGGCAGGTAACCAGAGGAACTTTCAGCCCCACTTCCTGACCTGGAGGTTGAACTAATCACCAAGGCAAATGATTTAATCAGTCATGCCTTTGTAGTGAAGGCTCCAAAACACCCAAATGGATGGGGTTTGTACAGCATTTGTGTTGTGAACATGTGGAGGTGCTGGAAGAGAGGATGGCAGCTCTGTGCCCCTTGTTCCATCCGGCTATTCCTGAGTTAGATGCTTTAATAATACACTGGAAATCTAGTAAGATGTTTTCCTGAGTTCTGGAAGCCCTATTAAACAAATTAACTGAAGCCAAGGAGGGAGTCATGGGAAACTACTGATTTATATTCAGTATATCAGAAGTGCAGGTGACAACCTGGACTTGCCCCTGGCCTTTGAAGTGGTGGTGGCGGTGGGGGCAATCTTGCAGGACTGAGCACTTTACCTGCAAATCTGAGGTTATCTCCAGGTAGATAGTGTCAGAATTGAGTTAAATTATAAGACTCTCAGCTGGTGTCACAGAATTGCCTGGGGAGGGGAAAATCCCCACACATCTGATAACCAGAAGTATCAGGAGAGTAGCAGAGTACTGAAAGTACAGGAGACAGGCACGAGTGTTTTTTCTTTATAGACAGTGACCTGAGCTCATCAGACAAAACGTGGAATTTTCAAGTCTTAACTAGTCACAGTTATCAAATGACTGATTCTAATCAACCACCATCTGCTACTACATACATATATGTGCATGTAGTAAGTATACACACAGACATACCTAAATCCATCCCTTGTATTATTTTTTCCTAACAGCAACCTGTTTTTAAGCTTCAGTTCCCTCATCTATAAAATGGGGGAAATAATTCTCCCACCCAGAGACTTCAAGAGTAAGGAAATGTGATAACCTATAAGAAAGCACTTGTATACTAAAGACACTGACCAACTGAAAGTGTCATCTCTATTTCTCTGGTCATAGCCATTAAGGTCAATGGGGCAAAAGGGAGGCAGCAGAGAAGGAAGGGCCATGTGGACCTGTTTAGAGTGGCACTGAACTCCTTGAGGGCAGAAATTATGAAATATAAAAGAAGGGTCTCCTTTTAAGAAGGACATCAGCTTTAATTAGAGGATGACTAGAAAACAAATAACTGAAAGCTAAAAGCATGTGGTCTGCTCAGAGGCTGAGCTACTAACATCTCACTCTGTGCTGCTGAAGCAGGTGAATTTACCAAGTGAAAAAGGAGAGCACTTGCTGGCTGCTGAGTCTGGCTACCGAGCCTGCCTGCCGCAAGGCCTCGGGCAGGAGTAAGTCAGGGTTGCTCTGAACTCCTACCAGTCACTGTGAAAGGTAAGGACTCTCCTGCCTCTTTTTAATTTCTAACCTCAAAGCCTGTCTTTCACCATGTGAAATAAAAATCTTTATCTGTATGCACTCAAGGTTTGTGAACATTTTATTTCCTCTGGGTGTTTATTCACTACGTAAAAACTCGGACTAAAGGATGGTATTTGAGACAACAGCCTGCTGTATTTCCTGCCCCCCCAAATAGTTTAAAAATAAAAAAGGGCTTCCAAGAGTTCTGTTTATTCCTGACAGTGGCAAACCCACCGCAGTAGCTGGCATAGCAGTGTGACAAGCCGTCTGGAGTTTCCCACTAGAACTGCGAATCACAGCCAGAGAGTGGCGGTGCCTGGAGAAGAACCACCAAGGTCCGGGAGCCGGCTGAGAGGCTGAAGGCCTGGCACACACCACGCAAAAACCATCACGGCAACGATGCCACTTTGTTTCAAAATCATAAAGATATTTTTCAAATGCAATTTTGGCCATTCCAGTAAATCTTTACATGTTTTCATCTGTATCTTGCCTGGCCCTTTGGTTTAATATTTTCCAGAGCATTTTATGTTGAAGAAGTTCAAACACAGAAAAACTGAAAGAATTATATGGTGCACATACCCACTACTTAGTCTACGACTGACATTTTGCTACTTGCTTTATCATGTATCTATCCACCTATCTTTACCTCTCTCCACTCCTCAGTCCACTTTATTTTATTTTTTTGATGTGTTTCAAAGTAAGTTACAGACATGAGGACATTTTACCTCTAAAGATTTAAGCAAGCCTATCATTAAATAGAGTTTAATATTTATTATTTTTCTATTCTATTTTCCATTTAAAATAATAAATACAAAAAAATATCGAAATCTTGGGTGTACAATCTGACCACAGCAGAAAATTCTCTTAATACCTCTTCCCGGTCAACCTCTCATCCAACTTCCAGTGACAACAATTGTTCTGATTTTTTTCCACAGAGGTTAACTTTTCCTTTTGCAGAACTTCATATAAATGGATTCATACAATATGGACGCTTTTGAGCAAGGCTTCTTTCACTCAGCATAATGTTTTTAAAAATCATTCAGGTAGTTCCATATACTGGTAGTTTGTTCCTTTTCATTGCTAAGTACTATTATTTCTATGTTGTTTGTTTTAATTTTAAAAAGAATTTTATTTCCTTAATATCAGAAATTCTACTGTGAGTCTATGTTTTTTAAAACCAAATTATTGGAAAATCAAATGCTACTGGGTAAAGTGGTTTTTGTCTTTCACAAAAACCAGACAAATAAAAATCATTTTTAAGTATCTGAATCTCTCTAAAATGCATAAATGTATTCCAAGAAATCACAGGCACCATGGCTAAGACCGAGGAAAAAGACATTTCCAGGGCATGTTGTAAGATTAAGTACAAAGGCCAATCTCTTTATGCAGTGTTAGAAGGACAAATCATATTTGGCTAATCACAAAGAATTAGCCAGATAATATTTGACTTTTGTTACTAGCAAGGTGGGCAGATACAGGGCACTAACAAAGGTATTTTTTTTCCGATTCTCACTAATGCCAGTAATAAAATCTAAAGGACCAGCTAGTTACCACTGCAATAAAAAAGCTTAAAATATCTTTGAACAAACATGACAAAATATGTGCAAAATCCCCATTAATCTTCAGAGATACAAAAACATTTAAACAACAAAAAAATGGACAAAGTTTTTAGAGGGGATGCCTAAACACTGTAACATCCACTTTCATTCAAGTTAAAGATTCAGCTCAATTCTAGTAAAAAATCCAAAATTCTGGTGTGGATAAAATAACTCCAAAATTCGACATGAAGAACAAAACAAGAGAAATGTCCAAAGAGTACTTTTTAAGAACAGGTGAGAGGTTTCTGGCCCTTCCAGTCAAGTAATAGAAAACTTAGTAGTTCTTACAGTACAAATTCTTCTAAAGCAATTCTTAATTCTTAGTTATTATTTGACACCTGTCATGAAGAAATGCCAGCCTCAAAGCTAGAAAACTCAGAGCAGCAGACACATGAAAGCATGTACTGTTCACATCACAGAGCTGACAGGAATCACAGGCATTCAGCCAAAGAGAGAGAGAATAATAGAGAAATGATTTAACTCAAGTGGTGTGAGAGATCCTGCCTTCTATTACATTCTATGGCAAATGGCTTGGAGGAGAGAGGGAACGCTGCTGTGTACTTCCACACACATGAAAGACTCCCACTCCATGAGTATCTTACCTAGGAGTAACCTGGACTTAACTTGATGTCCATTTCCCTGCTGACTTTAGAAAGCAGCCTTCACACAAGCAACAACCAGGTACACATACTTTTTCATCAAGTGCTTTTTTCTTTAAGTTAGTAAGTACACATTGACCCAGGGTTCAGACAGCCTTCTCACTCACTGACCTTCTCAGCCATGGCATCCATGTAGTCCTGTCGCTGGTACTCTCTCCGGCGCAGATGCCTATACACGTGGAATTCTCCGCTGCCAGCCCCAGCGCTTGAACCTATAGCCAGGACAGTCCAGATTCTTGATGAAATCCAGTTATCAACATAGGCTACTCTTAACCAGAAGGCCCTAAAGAAAGAAACTGGAAGTAATGGTACAGACCTATTCCTCACTGTACCCTAGAATCTAGCACAGTGCCTGGCATAATATAGGCATCATTAAACACTTGAAGCACAAACGTTTAATGTGAAATCACTAAAAATTCCACTCTAACAACAGTATTGAGGCAGAACAGACTGAAGTTCAGTGACCAGAAATCTAGAATAGGTCTATGTATGACCTCTCTTTCCTCTACCAGATGATTTCACGTCCATGATGTATTAAGTGAAAAAAGTAGGTTTCCATAAAGTATGTGTAGAACAGCCATATTTTTGTCAAAACATTTTTTTAATTTAAGCTAAGTGCTTTTGACTTACACAGAGGTTTGGAAGGCTGTATCAGAATGTTATAAGTAGAATGATGGAATTACAAGTAGTTCAAACTTTTTTATACCTCAATTATTTATTTTTCTTTAGCATCAGTATATGTTAATTTACAACCCTACAAAGTAATGAAACTATTTCCATTTGGAAAAAAAGCAATGATGCATTATTTAAAATAATTCAGGAGAAAATTCCCAAATGCCAAACCATAAACAACAATACCCCTTATTTTAAGAGCAAAATTACTGGACCAGTAAATATTATTTTCTCCTATTATAAGTCTAATTAACAAATACTAACTGCAGAATTTTTATATCTACACTTCAATAATTATATTTACATACACACACACACACACACACACACACACACACACACACAAGACATTATTACCCATTACATCTCGGACAAATTCTGGGGGAGGTCGAGGTGCCCATTCACTCATTTTTTCTGGAATTGGAACTGCTTTGTCCTGCAACATTTAAACGGGAAGACATTTGTAAGTACTGACCTGCTGACAAAGCAACATCTTCTAAAACGAAAGCATTCTGAGTAGAGTAGGTAATTAAGGCTGCTTTGCTCCTTGCACCCAAAGTTGATTTTACCTTCTTCCCTTTGTCTTAGCTTTACTTCTTCCTTTATACTTTGGGGTCTATCACAGCCCACAGCCTTGCAGGGGCTACACTTAACTTTCCAGGGCAGAACACAGAAACGAAAGACACCATTTATGGCTGGAAACCTCCTACTTTAACCCTACTAAACGGAGAGTCAGCCCTTTCTAGTCAAAGGTTTGAGAGACCTTCTCATCTAATTATTTTTATTAATAAAGGGACCGAGGTCCAGACCGAAGTGGTGATTTGCCCCAGGTGTCCCGGCCAATGCCTCTCTAACAATCGTGCGGTTTAGAAGGAAATACACCTTGTGCTAACCCACGGATTCTATCTTTCCAGTCTAACGCTTCTGTTCACAGAACAAACTGTAAAGGGTCTTAGAGCACTGGACGCCGACTCCAAGGCGCTCTCATTCAGGCTGGGCACACAGGACGCTCACTATCTCCGGGGCTGCCTACTCCTTCCTAACGACTGGCCTTCGGGTTCGGGTACTGAGTTCCCGAGTCTGGAGAAAGGGTGGGGAGGCCCGCCGGCCCCCAGAGAAGCGGGAACAGAATGGGGTGGGGCTCGCAAGGGCCGTTCAACTCGCGCCTCGTCTCACCGGGTTCTTCATGAGCCGCTCCAGCTTGAGCTTCTGCTCCTCGGCCGCATTCTTAGGTATGACGAGTGCTTGCGGCTCTTTCTTGGGCCTCGGGGGTCGCACAGCGGATGCTGAGCTCGCCATAACACCGCTTCCCCGGCTAGCGGCGGCTGCGGCGCGCACTTGTGATGACAGAGCCACCCGCCGGGAGCGCAAGCGCAGTCTCTTAGCTGGGCGGGGCTTGGGCGGAGTCGCAAGGCGGAAACAGGCTGCTCAATATTCTGGAGCCGGGGTCGGTGGGTTATTTTGATCAAAGCTGGCTGGCTTAATTTCCTGTTTCTGAACAAATTGGGGCCGGCGAACTCTCACGTGTCTAGGTATGAGGTGGCCCTGCAGGCGCTCGGGTCCGGCCCCTGCTGACCCTCTCCAGGCCCTGTTCGCGCCGTGGTTCCGCTGGCAGCCCTGCCAGTGGTTCTCAGCATCCTCTCCCGCCCCGGGCCTTTGTTCTGGCTGTTTCTTGGGTCTGGTCCACTCCCCTTCACATTTCTGACAATCTGTATGTAAGATAGCACAAACTTGTCAGTATAAGCTCCCTGAGCACTGGGGGCCATATCTCTTTTGTTCACCTCGAATTACTGTGCACCCAGCAAATAGACCTCGGTCGAGTGAATAAGCCTTTCTTAAAGAGAAAGAAAAGTTGCCATGCATCTGGGAGCTAGTCAGGCACTTCTCTAGGCCTTGATATTCTCCTGTTGGGCATAAACAATTTCCAAGGCCATTCTGTGACAGTGATTGAGCAGGGCAGAAGCAATACTCTGTAATCATGTTTGAACTCAGATGAAAACAAGAATATTGCTGGACCCAGAAAAAGACCACATGTTCTCCCCACTCAGGCTAATATGAGTAACTGCTACTTCTCTACAGCATTATCCTCGGTTCACTTTAGGTATTTATTAAGACAACCAAATGTGAAACTGTCCCTGTTTCCTGACTGCATCTAAACCAGAGTAAAAACCCACTAACTTAACCCAAGCTCAAATCCTATAATAAATCCTCTTTTACACTCTCCTGCTTAAGTAGGTGCAGTCTTCCTCCTTGAAAAAGGCAATAAACTCAACCTGTTCAACTACAGGTATGTTTCTAGTGGTCTTCACAGCTGCAGGTTTACTCATTTATCATTTGTTGCCTACAAGAGTCGGAGATCTGCCTTGTTCATTGCTATATTCCCAGTGTCTAGAGCACAGCCTGACTCACGAAAAAGTACTCAATAAACATTTGCTGGATGACTAGGGGATCCTGGGGGCCAGGCACCTCAGATCCCACTGCTGCTGCTCAGCCTGCTCAGCCCAGGATAGTTCGTTCCCCTACTAAGCGCCTGGGGCTAGACAGGCGATCCCTGTGACAGGGTGCTGGGTTAGCATTCTAAGGCTATTCCTGGCTGCCTGATGGTGCGTGGTTTTCCAGGTACCAAGGGTGACGAGTTAGGGGAAGTCCTTAAGTTGCCCAAGTCTGTCAATGGAACCTAGGCAGGGCTTGGCCTAGGTGTGGTCATGGACACATGACTGTACATCACATACCCCAGTTCCCCGGGCACCTCACTTTTTCCCAAACACACTACACACAGAAAAGATTTTAACTGGAGTGCCTTTTCCTCCTTGGAGAACTCCCTGACACCTTTCTTAGCTTGGCTTAAATGCTACTTCCTCTGTGAAGCTTTTTCTGACTGTCCCCCAGCGTCCTCCTCCAGGCAACCAGTTGCTTCCTTCTTGGTGCTTCCATTGCTCTGGGTCCCAATGACTGGCATGTGATAGTTATCACAGCACATTCTCACCATCTGCACTCCAATGGGTGTGAGGGGAGAGTTGGGCATCTGATCCTTGTCTAGAGTAGAGGGGTGCTTGCAGATGAATGAAAGATGCCTGAAAAAATAAAGAATGAATGACTATGTCAGTGAGATGACCAAGTGATAGATGAATGAATGAAAAAGGAAGTTAAGTGAGTGAGTATGAGGAAGCATGCATGAACGTTTAATAAACAAGTGGGTGCTCTCTGAGTGAATGACCATGAGACAGTGACCATGAACTACAGAGCCAGGACGGTAGCCATCTCCCTGGCACCTCTAGCTCCGGATCTGGCACTGAGTTGGTGGTTGGCAGCTGGCTGCCAGGTGGAAGTGAATAAATGAACTGAGCGAATGCGCAAGGGTGGGAGAGAGTTAAGGCATGTGGGTGTGAAGGAGCCTATGGCAACAACTTAACGTGTCTAAGCGGAGCCTAAGTGTGTTGACATGTTTATCATTCTGACTTACAAATAAGAACTAAGGCCTAGAGGGCTGAGTGACTGGCTAGGGTCACATGGACTCAAACCCAGCAGTCTGGCCCTGGGTCTATAAGGGCCTGCATGATCATGACTCATGGACGGATGGACCAAGGCCCCCAGCAGACCGTGGTGGGGTCCTCCATGTGGCACCTTTCTAGGGCTGGGGGTAGATTTGAGGTCTTGCTCCCTGGGAGGAAAGGGCCCCTTCCCTCTCCCAGGCCCCCACCACTAGCTGTCCTGCAAGAGTGGAGACAGGCCCAGAGTGTCACCCTACCTGCCACCAGAGGGCAGCAAAGCTCCACCTAGGTCCACTGCCCAGCCTGTCCCCACCGAAGGCTCAGAACTAGGCACTTGGGGAACGAGGGCTACTCTCCTGGAAAACACCAGGGCTTTGGAGTCTGGCAGACCTGGTACTAAAGCCTATCTCCATCTATTCTGGAGCGTGGGTTGTTGGGAAGGCAACTTAACCTCTGAAAGGCTGTTTCCTTATATGCAAGATGGGAACAAGTGACCCTACCCTCTGGCCTATGGATAAAATGATGTGATGGATGATAAACAGGGCCTGGCACAGCATATGACACTTCACAGTAAGGTGACCAAACTGGGGAGAGCCAGGACGAGGACCTTCATTGCTAAAACCAGGAGTCTTGGGCAAACCAGGGCAACTGGTCACACTGGATGGTGGCGAGAAAGAGGTGGGGGAGGCAGGCATGCCTACCTTAATCTTTTACAGAAAAAAATGCTCACAACTATTCCATAATTTGTTCCTCACTGAGTTAGTGAGTCAATAGTCTCCACAGTGGTCCTGCTGTCAGTCACCAGAAAACAGTGCTATCAATGGGGAAAAAACAAAGATGGAGAAGAGTTTGTCAGTTTCCTATAAAGATAAATATCCATGTGTGCCATACAAACCTGCAACCTTATTCCTATTTACCCTAGGGAAATGAAAACATAATGGCCACTCAAGGACCTGTATATGAATATATAGCAGCTTGATTCATAACTGACCCAAACTGGAACAACCCAAATGCCCATGAAATTGTGATACATCCGTACAGTGAGATAGTCCTCAGCAATAAAAAGGAAGGAACTATTGATATTTGCAACCACATGAATGAATTTCAAAGGCATTATACTTGGTGAATGAAGCCAGATTCAAAAGGCTACAACCTGAATGATTCCATTACTTGATGTTCTGGAAAAGTCAAAATGATAGGGACAGAATACAGATCAGCAATTGTGGGACACCAAAGGATGGAGAGGGGCTTGACTGTAAAGGGCCTGAGTGAATTTTTGGGGTGATAGACTTGTATATCTGAACTGTGATGGTGCTTACGTGAACATACATGTTGGTAAAACTCATTGAACTATACACTTCAAAAGGGAGAATTTAACTGAATGGAAATTATACATCAGTACAACTTGACATAATAAACAAAGGTCGCTTTGCCAGGCTACAGGGAAACCAAAACCCCACTGTCTGGTGGCTTTGGGGAGCATTGCTTATCTTCCCATTGCGCCTCCCTGAGGCAGCTCAGACCCTATAAATCTGTCTGGCCCTCTCCAGCATGGGGCCAAGAGGTGGAGTGGCAGGGACAGGCTTTCTGCAGCCAGAGGCCAATGGTGGCTGAAGCCCCTGTACTTCTGCCTCTGGACCCCACATGCCCACAGGACAGAGTCCTGGCTGCCCTAGCTGAGGTCGGTCAGTATCCACAGGCCAGGGCTATTTCTGAGCCAGGCTGTGTTGAGCAATGCCCCGTATTTAAAGCTGCAGCTGGCATGGCTCCCATCTTCCAGAGCTCCCAGTCTGACTCACTAAAATATCTTCCTATTCTTGAACTTGGGCTCCTAAGTTTGGGGGACTCCATAGTCTGCCTGTTGAAGGACCCAGTAAGGGAGATACATTGCCCTGTTTGGGCTGGCCCATCATCTCTCAGCCCCTGACATGTCCCATACCACCTGGGCCCCACACACCTTTCTTGGGTGGCCTCCCTTGAATATGTGGACCACCCACAATTCCTCTGCTAAGGTCCAAATGTATGGGCAGGTCAAATTCAAAATGCCCCCAGTCCACTGAAAATCAGGGTCTTTTGATATACCAGGCTCTTTGCAGTTGGGTCCTATGCACTATGTCATTTAATTCTCATAAAAAACATTATGAGATAGACATTATTTTAAACCTTTATATCATGAAATAAAACATACAGAGAACTGTACAAAAACAAACATACAGCTCAATGAATGATCACAAAGCAAACAGCCACACAGCCCCATTCTGGTCAAGAAAAAGAACGTGGCCAGCACCCACAGCCCACTCCCCCAAATCACTCCTCTGTCCCTGCACCCCAGAGACAACCACTCTCCTGGCTCCAGTGGTAATTGCCTATAGTGCTTGATTCCATATTCTTACCACCTAACCGTGCATCTTTGAAACTCATTTGGTTCATGCATTTGGAATCCATCAAAATGCATTTCAAATATCTTCCTTCTGCTCTGCAGCTCGCCTGTTGAGGTCTTACTAATATCTGTTGTCAAAAAGAACTTCATTCTAATGTAGTCAAATTTATCACCATTTCCTTTCTTTAGGGCTTTTTGTGTCCTATTTTTAAAAAAATCTTTTCTCATCGCAAGATTATAAAGAAACTCACGTACATTATCTTTTAGACACTCTATTGTCTTGCTTTTCACAGTAAGATCTACAATGTACCTACAATTGCTTTTGGGGTTTGGCATAAAGTAGAGACCTAATTTCATTTTTTCCATGTCAATATCTATCTTCCCAGAACCATTTCTTGAAAAAATTGCCCTTCATCATTGCTTAATTGCTTCACTTAGAATCTTCTCAACCTGATTTTTGTTGCTGCCTCAGGGAGGCGCAATG